TATATATATATATATATATATATATATATATATATAAAGGCTAATTTAGATATATAAATATATATTTAAATTAGCCTTTTTTTATTTGTCCAAAATCCTTCTACATAATATTTTTTTGTTTACAGTCGGACAAAAAGCTAGGCTGTGAAAATTCTTTAGACAGTTTCCGATCTAGTCTATCATTATTTGATAACTGAAAATCATTCTTTACTGTTATTCCTAATAAGCGTTGTAAGGAATTGCGGATTGCCATCGCCATTATTATCCTTTTTGTTCGTACTGCTGTCGGTATATTTCTTGTTTTGGATGGTAATAGCTACTGTTATTTACTACCAAATTTTATGATTTCACTAGCATTATTATCGAATTTAGTTGATTACTTTGTTTTCTTAAAGCCGAAATTCATTAATAAATTAAAGCTGAAGTTTTTTACGGAGCTGTCATCAAATTATCGACACATTATAAGTGCAGTTTGAAGGAAAAGTCAAAGGTATATCAGCAGGTATCCTCATTAAAACAGATTTAAAAAAAGTGAAAGGAAAACAGCAGTAAAAACATGTCAAAGTTCCGCAACAGATTTACACCATTAAGATAGTGTCACGGAATTCTAATATTTCTACTGTATAAGAACGAACGAAATTGAAACAAAACTTAAACCACTTGTGAAGGGAAACTGAAATCTAGTGAGCAGCAAGCAATCACAGCAATTTTTCACCGACCATTTAACAAAATCCAATAATGACTTTATGTTAGCCAAATGAAATAATGTAATTAAATGAACGCACCAAAAACTGGTGGTAGAAGGGTTGAGAAATAAACATATCTCACTCAATCATATGTTTTGTTTTTCTAAATATTTTTTTTCAATTCTCTACAATTTTCCTACCGAAAAAATGAGTTTGCTACCCGTCCCCATTTTTTCCATTTGTCCTTAAATAGCATTTAATAATTAACCAATCAAGAGAAGATATTATTGTTAACACACAAACGACAGGTAGTATATTTGCCATAAAAGCAAAATTGAAGAATTTAGGAATTTCAAAGGAGGTCTTTTTTTTAACTGTTAAAGTTTTGATTATTTACTTAAAGTGCATTTGTTTTCATTTAGACAGGACAAAATAGCTTTTTAAACTCAAAATTTTAGCTTTTAGTCAACTTCCTAA